AAGTGAGAGTCCTGGGATGAAAAGTGAGTTTTCCTGCCCTTTCCTCCTGGAAAGATGCAGGCCGCTCCCGTCCATAGCCATCTCGGTGAGGGTCTCAGGATGGAATGAAAGGAGGGCAGTTAAGAACATGTCTGAGGAGAGATGAAGATGTGGAAGAGTGAGGAGGAGAAGCCAGTTCCTTGGGGAGATGATGAGTGATGGGCTCAGGCTATGTCAACAGTCCAGAAGGGAGCGGCAGAGATGGCCAGCAAGGAGCACACTGAAGAGAACATTCAAGACTGGAGAGACATCTCCATGGCGGCAGAGGACAGAGAGAGGCTGGAAGAACAGGATAAGGCAGCCACAACATCCCCTGGAGCAGGGGAGAGGGGAGATGATGAGGAGGAGGATTTATGAACTGTCCACCCATGTGCTGACCGCACTTCCAACCAGGGGTCCTCACCCCAAATTCCAGAGGCCAAGGCTCACAGCTCAGTGGAGCTGGTGTGTCACACGCAGAGCTGATTGCCGGGCGCAGGTGCCACCTGTGACAGATGGCAGTGTCCTGCCCTGGGAATCAGCATGAGGGGGGCAGGTGCAAAGAGCCAGGGACCCAGAGGACAGAGACTCCAGAGCCCTGGGATGTGGTGCCACAGACAAACAAGCAAGCCATCTCTCGTAGGTAGGGAGATCTATGTTGCCAGCATCTAATGAGGATAGAAAAACAAATCTCTTGAGTCAAAAACCTTCAGGTGAAACATCTAGGTTCACAGAACCTTTGATTAATGTGTAATCCACAGAGGCTGCCATCCAAGAGGTTTATAAAGATCCACAGTGAGAAAAAAAAAATCCACAGTGAGGAGCTTTCCAGAATTGAGGCAATGTTGTTAATTTAAACACTGATAACTGGGTAAAAATCCAGACTAGGGCAACTATCCACACACATCTTTGAATGATGGCTGGTGGCAGTGGCACCAGTATGAGACACTCCTGAAGCTATAAAATACCAGATAAATAATAATGAAACTAATGTTCATCAACCACTAAAATCTATTCTTCTTTTCTAAAGACATTACAATAGTGTCTCATGCAACTTTGAATCTGTGTAAGACTAAGAAAACAGTGAGAACTGGATTCATTTCTGGGTTATCCTTCAATAAATGCTCTACAATCTACATCTGTGGTGTGTGGGTATCTAAGCACAGGAAAGCTAGTATCAACCATATTGTGTGCCTTCAAAAGCAATCAGACGTCCACGTCTATACATCTGCATTTACACTCATGCTTCTGCAAGGAGCACTGCTTCCTGTGTGGCTGCCCTGGGGTTCACCTGGCCAGGCCCCTCCTGCCGGACATGTGGGTCCCAGCCTCCTGCTGTTGGAACCGTGTATGGTGAAGCTCCTGCCATGTGGCTGTGTTCCAAGAGGAGCTCCGCAAGTAAACTGCTAGGTCAGTGTATGAGTTTTAAATATTAATACATGCTATCAAACTGCCTTCCAAGTGCTTCATCAATTTATCCTTCCACCAGCTTCGCAGCAGAATGCTTATCTGAACATGCCTTTCCTCACACTTGGTATTAAAACATTTAAATTCTCTGACCATTTAGTAGTAGGCTCTAAAAATAAGTATTTTCCTATGTTTATTAGCTATTTGCCCTTCTTTTCCAATAAAAAAATCTGTTCCCACCCTTTGCCCATTTTTTCTCCTGAGCTATTCACCCTTTTCTACAGATTTGCAAGAGTTCTTCATGTATTCGCCTAACCACGCAATATCTGTGGCGTGTGGGAAATAGTTTTCCTAGTTCAATATTACTTCTTTACTTAAACGTATCAATCCTTTCCTTAATGGCTGTTAGACTCTGTATTGTCTTCCATATTCTAAGATTAGGGAAAAAAAAAAGTTGTCCATATTCTCTCCAAGTACCTGAAAAAAACTCCAGCTTTATTATTTTCCAACTTAAGCTGTATCAACACATTTAAAGAATAACATGTTATATTCCCTCGACATTACATTTCTAGTCTTCTACCATAGCCAAGCGACTGGACCATGTTCTACAGATTAAGGGCTCCCCCACGTACTAGTAAAGGGAAAAAGGTCACAACAGATCACTGTAATAAATGCACCCTGATCTCTCGACTCCAGTAACTACACTTAACCTCTGTGGCTGCTAAATAGGAAGCCAGAACCGGAAGGTACCTCAATCAACCCAAAATTAGGAGTTCTAAGAAAAACAAGAGGAGGTGCTATTTTACATATTAAGTTATAAATGTATGAACTAATTACTCTGAAATGTACCATAGATTAAAAATACAAAGTCAAGGGAGGCTCAGATAAATTGAAGAATAAGCTCAAAATGAGTTATCCAAGGAGATCTGCAGATGGAAGTAACTTTTAGAGAGAGTTTTTTTAAAAAGATAGGATTTAGAGAAAAGATACCACAGTCGGAAAGTTGGATAACCCATAGCTGAATGTGAGGCTTCACCCTGCCAATGTGGGAAGAAAGCCAAATTTAAAATAATTGGTGCCGAGGAGAGCAAATGCATACTAGCACTGAGTGGTGTGCAGAGTGGAATGGGGGGTGCGCCCTGCATGGACCAGGGAGAGGGCAGAGCCAGCTCCCTCTGACATACCTGCCTTCCAAATAAAATTGCTCTCAGGGAGAGAGCACACTGCCAGGGTAATTAGAAAATCCCTAAAAGAGGCATATCCCTGGAAAAAACAAGTATTTTTTGTTGACATTCAGAAAATGAGCAAATGAGTAAACCTAACAGCAAAATTTTTAAAAGCTACCAATTAATAATGTTAGCCTGGTTTCTTATTCATGACATTTTTCATGATGTTTATATATCAGCATTTTGGCCTATTTAAATTATTCTCCTATCCCAGATAACTGAAAGCATAGATGACTATTATAACTTGTTTTTACTTGAGAAGGGGGTGCCTGGGTGGTGCCACTGAGCATCTAACTCTTGATTTTGGCTCAGGTCATGATCTCAGGGTTGTGGGATCAAGCCCTGTGTCCAGCTCCAAGCTGGGCCTGGAGCCTGCTTAGGATTCTCTCTCCCCTCTCTCTACCCCTCCCCGCCTACTTTCTCTCAAAAAAAAATTCTTTTATTTGATTTAAATTAAATCCAAATGCTCAGTTAATTATGGCCATGCTTTCTATATTTTGTTACTTCTAGTTTCAGTTCACTTTTTCTTTGCTTTCAAAGGATTTGGTTAGATTTACTGTTAGAATGGATTAGTAAAATCCACCTTCAAAAAGTTGGTTTTATTTTCTTCTAAATAACCTGGAAGAAAAAAATTTCGACTTATGCTACTCAGTTCCTACTGCTACATTTAAATACCAAGGAAGCTACTTCATAACAAGACTTAGGCCTGATCCTGCATTTTGGTCAGAGTGCTTCCATTTATCCTGAGACAGTGGCTGAAGTAGGTCTCTGAATTAAAATCAGATGAATATTCTCCATCTTTTGCTTCCTTCATTTACTCTACAATCATCTGGCATCATTCCCTTTTATTAAAATGTTGTCTTTTACTCAATGCAAACACATTCACTGATGTTTTTGTTTAACTCCGTGAACTCAGCTGGGTTGGCTTTGCCCCCAGAGGACATCTGACAATATCTGCAGATAACTTTGGTTGTTACACCTGAGGGCAACTAGATGTTACTGGCATGTAGTGAGCAGAGGCCAGGAGTGCCACTAAACTGCGTAACACAAAGCTCAGGCCCCGGCCATCAACAGTGCTCATGCTGAGAATTCCTAGTAAAACTTCAAGTAAGGCTTGACTACCATTTCTTCACATTTTATCTTGAATAATCTTTAACTGACCAATGTTCTCAAGTAATCTAGAGTAACAAAATATTGGAAAATGTTCAACTACGGTGACTACCTTGCCTCTGAATTTTAAATATTTGGGCCAAACTAATTTGTAATTCAGGATGTCCACCAAAAGCTATTTAAAAATGTATAAAATTGGGTGCCTGGGTGGCTCACATCTGATAAAGTGTGTGACTTCAGCACAGATCGTGATCTCGGGAGTCTTGGGATCAGGCCCCTGAGTCAGGGCTCCCTGCTTAGTGGTCAGTTTGCTTCTCTCTCTCCCTCTGCTCCTCCTCTCACTCCTACTTGCTCTCTCTCAAATAAATAAGTAAAATCTTTACCAAATAAATAAAAATGAATAAAATCTGCAGTTAACATATGGCAACAGCACTTCAATAAATTCTCTTGGAAGGTTAAGATATAGGCATTCTGTAAGCAAATAATTACTAAGTGATATGACTATCAGGCTTCACATAATTTAAAACCTTCTACATAAAGAATATCAAGAAATCTGAAGTCCATTTGTTTCTAAAGATGTAGGAAACAGTAACATTTTGATCTCCATCTTTTGACTTTTGTTGCCACTCACCCACAGTAATCATTTAACGATAACTGAACTAGGCAGAGTCACCTAAGGCAGTTAAACTCATTAAAATTACTTTGGAATTTCAGTGTATTTTTCTCAAATCACCCCATGGTTGTAAGTTTCCTAGAGGTAATACAATAGTGCTGAGTGCTGGATTTGCACCCACTTCCACTTGCACTGCATCTGCAAGATGAGGGGGCTCCCTCCCTGAGAGTGTAGGAAATGTGCTAAGGTCAGAGAAATCCTTTTTGGTTTCAGCTGGAGCTCTGACACTCACTGCCTCAGCACGGGACCCTGCTTTTTTTTCTCCGGGACCCTGCTTTTCTGGACCCTGCTTTTCTTTCTCCGCTAGGGAGAATGTTTGCATCTTAAAGGGTCTGTGTTTTTAGAAGCAATTCTCAATGAACACTTTAAAGACAGTCTTTAGCCAGCCTCAGAGGCAAGTTCTTTGTTAATGCCCAACAGAAAGCCACACAGACATCTAATAGGTACTTTGTTTATGCTTTCAGGGAATGGCAACTACTAGAAGCTACGCATCAGGAGCTTTCACAAATGGGCTGCTCTGCTCTAAGTACAGCCAGTCATTTCCAGCCAGATGATGGAAGACATACCTGGTTGTTACTGTTGGCAGCTGACGAATTGGCTTGAGCTGTACTTGCTGAGAGAGAATCAAGGAAGGCTTGGTCAGCCACTGAATTTCCACAAGAAAATGGGTCTTTTCCATCATTGGGCAAAATCTGAATATCAGAAAGAACCACAGTTATTTTCATAGATTAGGGGTATTTCAGAGTTATAGTCTCTAAAGGCAAGCCAAAATTGTCAGCTATTATGAAGGGGTTATATTCTTAAAAGGTAAGTGAGCTCTTGAACACCTATATTAATGGTTCCTTTTCAGAACTACGCAGAGTTCTAAAAATGCAATTAATGCCAGCACGAACTTAAATCCTCAGATTTTTCTCCATCTTGCCCATTTTTAGGATCCTGGCTGCACTGTGCACAGAGGTAAAACACAACATAAACCTAAGACAGGTGGACTGAGTCCAGGGGCCTGTAAACACTCTGGAATCACATGGATGAGACTGGGGTACATGTACAGATTTCTGAGAGGGGCCACAGATTCACCAGAGTCTCCAGAGGGTCCAAAACTCCCCACCCCAACTCTCCATCAGGAACAACAGGTAGACAGCCAGGCTTCCATTCTGCAGGTGGCACCCAGGTAAAAATCCTCCCAGGACATTATTCCTTCCTGCTGGAGGGAAACCACAGGCACTTTGTTCTTGATCTCGCTCCCAGTTTACTCACAGGGCACCAGGCAACCTGGGTTTGGTGGGTCACCTGAGAAGAGAGGCAACCTGACCAAGTACCCAGGACTCGAGTTTGAGTGACCTACAGACAACCAGTAGAGGGCAGCAGGAGGTTGATGGGGCGGGGTTCCAGCTGAGAGGGTAAGTCCCAGGCAGAAGGGAAAGGGGGTTCCTTCCAGGGGCTGGATCCCTAACTTTGACATTTATGGGAACACAGCTTAAAGGAGGCAGCAGCTCCCAGGAGCTCATCCAAGACCCTCCATCTACAGGAATGGGACAAAGAGCTGAGAAATAGGTACTAAACCAGCACAGACAGAGCAGAGCTACTTAAAACTTTCAATTTTGTGAATGAACTCTATAATATAAACAGTGTAGACAGTAGTGATTATACAATATAAACAAAGGTAAAATAGGGACATTTATTCAGATTAATTAAAAGTTGTTCTTCCTAGAAGGAACTTAATCCAAATATCTGGAGTCACTCTTTGGAGCCTGGTTGCATCTACAGGTAACATTTCTTTGTTGCATTTTTCACATTTTATATAATTAGCAGATATTACTTTACAGTGGAAATTCTTTTATTAAAAATAAAGTTGCTACTTTCCATAATCCATAAAAAGATGTTTGACAGAGACCAGGTTTAATTGCTTTATGACAGTAAGTTCTTACTTCAACATAGTCTGTGGGAACAAGTCCACGTTCTCCTTTGCTGTTTTTTCCTTCCAGCCATCCTCCACCAACATCCTAATAAAGTTTAAAAAGAGAGAGAGAGAAAAAAGATTATAGTTGGAATTTCCTGCAGAAGTTTTGCTTTGTTATACATGAAAAAATAATTAATGTTAAGCCCTTTATTCCCACAGAGTTAGCACTGTTCAAAGTTATAAATTATTTTTTAAAAGATTTATCTGAGAGAAAGCGTGCACATGTGCACACACTCACATGTGCGTTAGTTGGAGTAGGGGCAGAAGGAGGGAAACAGAATCCCAGACACCCCACTAAACTCAGAGCCTGACCGTAGGGCTGGATTTCACAGTCTTGAGACCATGAGCTGAGCTGAAACCAACAGTTGGATACTTAACTGACTACTAAGCCACCCAGGTGCCCCCAAAGTTATAAACTCTTAAGGCTTCTCTTTACTCCTGAAAATGATATAATATAAAAACAAGAAAAATCAAACAAGTGATCAAAGACTGAAAAGTAGTCCATTTAAAGGATTGGAGTCCTATCCGTGTGTAATTCCCTTCTATTCACTGGTCGGGGGGCAGATGACAAAAATGGTTTGTAGCTCCGACTGTCAAGAAGTGGAATGACATCTCTACTTCTGGAATCTCTGTTGTCTTTTGTGACCTCTGTGGTCAAGAGAATGAGGTGAGGTAGAAAAAAATATGGAATGTTTTTTTTCTCAGAGTCTAGCCTCAGGAGGCTTTGCACACTTTTTCCAAAAGAGCTGCTGTGTGAATAATTTGGCTTGCTAGATGATGACAGAGAGAGGGCCCAATCTCCTGTATGCCCCAACCAAAGCCAGTAAACCTTCATCAGGGGACTCGCTGGACACCTGAATGACCATGTGTTAAAGCACTCCACCCCCAGCTGCCCACCAGGTGACTGCAGATGCATATGGGAGCTCAACCTGGAGGTCCCTAGGCAAAACAACAAATGGTTGTTTGCTTAAGCCACTAAGCTTTGGGATTACCTGGTATCTAGGAAAAGCTAACTGACACATGGTTCCTTTGTTCTTCTGGATAAGTGATATTAAACTAAATTGTAAAATATTCTATACCAGAATTTCTACTTTTCAATCTATTATCTCCACAAAGTCCTACTTTTTTACCTGAAGAGTTGTCTTAAGTTCATAAATCATTTCTCAATTAGTTAATATCTGAGTGTACGTAACACTTTTTTCTTTGAAAACTTTATTTAAATAAAGCACACATGCAAGAGGGGCAGAGGGAGAGGAAGAGAGAGTGCCGAGCCCAAATGGGGTTTCATCCCATGACCCTGAGATCATGACCTGAGCTGAAACCAAGAGTCAGATGCTTAACTGTCTGTGCCACCCAGGTGCCCAATAACACATTCTTTTTTAAAAATCACTTTAAACCACAACTCTGTCCATTTTTTACCATGACAGCAACTTAAAATACTGTTTTACCAAGAAATGAAAATTATTTCTTCATTAAAAAAAATCAGATAAAGAATCTTTAATCTCTCCTATGATTAAAAATAGAACCTAAGTACTTAAATACACTTGGCATATTATCTAAAACTACATATATTTTTCCTACCCATTAATTCTTTTTTTTGTATCTAAAACATATAAAACAGGTTTTGAAAATACTATCAACATCAAGAAACCTCCATCCTCTTGGTCATTCCTGGGTCTCTGTGCTCCCCCAGCCCTCTGTCCCTCTGACCTAGGGGAATGCCTGCATCTCCTCCTTCCCTTCCCAGCACATCTCCAGCTGTCCTGGCAACCTTCCTCACATGCTAGTCTTGGAGGTATCCAGAGAGATGACCTATCTCCAGCTCTCACCTCCAGCTCAACATTTCCATTTTAAACTGATGCAAAGCTACAGGAAAGGGTTAATTATTTACTGTTCTTCAAGCTCAACATATCTAACAATAAACTCACTTAATCTTTCCAAAGAAGTTTTTCTTCCTGACTCACATACTTTAATAAATCCACCATTCTCTCAAGTCAAAGGTCAAACGTCACAGGGATCCTTATCTCTTCTTTCTCCAACAGTATCTAATCTGGCACCAAGTCCTCTGGGTCTGACTTGGCAAGCCTCCCGTGGAGAGCTTTCTTTTCAATTCCTATTGCTATTACCTAAGCTACATTCCCAGGTTCCAGCCATACCAGTTCACTCAATACACCTATGCTAGATTAATTTCCTGGAAATGCACATCTCACCACTTCATTTGCCTAACAACATCAAAAATAAAACCCTTAAATGAACCCACTACTTACAAATGAAGTCCAAAGTCTACAGCCTGGCCCATGGGTCCTGTCTGATTTGGCTCAAAAAACTAGTTTTCTGAGCCTGTCTGCTACTGGTATATATGTGCCCTGGACCCCTGGGACCCTTGTTTACATGTAGAGTTCCCAGAAGAGAGAAAAAGCAGAGGCTCAGAGACCCAACAGATGTGGTTTTGGATCTTTGCTTACAAACAGAATGATCCCGGTCAAGTTGCTTATCTTCTACGTCTTATTACCTTCATTGGTAAAACAGATTAAAAGTCCCTAGCTCGGGACACCTGGGTGGCTCAGAGGTTGAGCTTCTGCCTTCAGCTCAGGGCGTGATCCTGGAGTTCCAGGATTGAGTCCCACATTGGGCTCCCTGCATGGAGCCTGCTTCTCCCTCTGCCTGTCTCTCTCTCTCTCTCTCTCTCTCTGTGTGTCTCTCATGAATAAATAAAATCTTAAAAAAAAAAAAGTCCCTAGCTCATAGAGTTCATGGAGAAAACACATCAAAAATACATATGTAGTACTCAGCCAAACACCTGGCTCATAGGCCATTAATCAGCCACAGCTGTGACTTCCAGGAAACCATACTTCCAAATCTCTACACTTGTGCTCTGTCTGGGATCTGTATGGGACATCTCTTTCCATTTCTGCCTGATGGAACCCCCATACAACTACCTTTAGGGGACTGAACTTTTATTCAATGTTTATAAAATAGAGTCTTACTTCACCATCAATACTTCATAGACAACAGGGAAGAAATTCCTGTGGGTTTGAATGATCAAGTTAATAAAAAAATAAAACTGAAAGTATAAGTCCTTAAGAGCAAATCAGATTTAAAAACCTACTCATTCTCTTACCGGATTTGTAATTGTGATGATTTCTCCTTCATTAACCGTCAGTTCATTATTTCCAGGCTCAGCAGCAAAATCATACATAACCCGAGCCTGTTGGGAATAGCAACAGAGGAAGTTACAAATGTAAACTTCACAGTAAAAAACCAAACAATCTTTATCATACACTTTGTAAACATGCTGGTATGAACAAACACTCATGACTGTGGCTGTGGTTTTTTGAAATAAAGGAAGACATATTACCAAAATGATTCATCAGCCCTATTGTGAGAAAGAGGATACCAATGGTGAGGGCCCCTGCTCTGTTTTGGAAACAGGGAAGGTTTCTCATAGCTGCCTACACTGCTTTCAGGGACTAGCCCCCAAAATGTTCTCAAAACACACACACCCTTTTCATCCAGGGGGGGGGAAGTGTTTTTTTTTTTTTTTTAAAGATTTATTTATTTGAGAAAAAGAGAGAGAACGTGCATGAGTACATACTGGAGCAAGTGATGGGGCCAGGGGCAGAGGGAGAGAGAATCTCACGCAGACTCCGCACTGAGTATGCAGCCTAACACAGGGCCCAGTCTCAAACTCTGAGCTCACCACCTGAACCCAAACCAAGAGTCAGACATCCTACCTACTGCATCACCTAAGTACCCCAATACCCTTTCTTTAAGGAAGAAAGAAGTGGAAATGGAGATATCATTCATTCTGGGCACACTCAATCTCAGGGACTGAAGGGACATACAGACACACACGTGTACACTCATTTAAGATGCATACATGCTCAAATTATTCCCTGGCAGTGAAAACTCTCGCTATTCTTTATCTAGAGCCACTGGGATGAATTTTAATAATGTGGTACCCCTAGCCAACTAAACTCAGAACTTAAGATCTGGGTAGCGAGATATACTTAAATTCTTCTCCTAGAATATTTCCCCCTATACGGAAGCCTACACAGGGTTGCGTATTCTGGTCAGGTAACCTAACAGCTGGGATTTTCAAACTTTTCCTGCAACAAAATCTTAATTTCATGGCAAACAGACTTAAGCTGTTCTAGCTGACGGGAGATGGGGCTGCTCCTTCAGCCTCTTCCTCAAGAGGTTCCTAAAGGTGTCAACCCAAAAACATGGATTCTAGGAATACCGCTATGCATTTATTCCAAGATGATCACTGTTGTAAACAATAGATATATATTTTTTATAGTATTTAATATATTTTAATCCATTTCAAATTCTAAATTATCATCTTTCATGGACCATCTCATAAAAGAAGGTCCATCTCATATACTGGAGATAACATGTACCTAGGAAACCGATGAGTTACTTTAAAAGTAACTGTCCTAAGTGGCAAGTTCAAGTATATGTACAGAGCTAGTCAAATAGGACTAACAGAACTGCACTCATTTAACAAGATACTTGCTGAACACCCACCATATGGTCAGAACTGCGCTAGGCCCTTCTGATTGCCAGTGTGTTCCCCCACACTTGCTTAATGATGCCTGAAATACTCAGAACAAGGATAAAGAATTCACATCTACTGGTAAAAGGTTAAAAAAAAAAAACCCTCCAAATACTATTTTGACATACATCAGAAGAAATAAAATTGACTGGGGGATGAATATGCAACAAAGTAGGCAGAGTAATATGTTATTTACAGAATCTAGATGATAGGTGGATGGTGTTCAATGGAAAATGATTTTGATTTTTCTATTTTTACATATTTGAGATTTTTTTCATAACAAAATGTTAGAAAAACAAATGGTTAGTCACAAAACTGGCATCAGCTCCTGGACTTCCATCCTGAGAGGCTGGGCAGGGGGTATAGGGAGCAGGTTGCAGGCGCTGAGAAGGCTGAATGGAGTCATTACATGGGACAACAAGACTGTGTTGATGGCTCTTTCTCATACTGCTGCAAAAGCAGTTAGAATTCTGCTGGTCACGTTGTGGGGTATTTTTTTAAAAAACCACATCACCCCAATCTCAATTTCTCATGCAACGAGGGCAGATACAGATAAATGCATGAGGAGGGTCCCTGGGCCAAGCACAGGCCCCAGGGCTGTGGGCTTCCTGGGATACACAAATGAGTCGGATGAGCAACCTGCTGTTTGGTTCTTGTTCCTTAAGGATCCTGCTTAACATTTTTTTTTTTTTAATGCAGCTAAATCTAGCTAATCCCCACTACAGAATACCAAAGACTATTCTTGTGTACCAAATGTCCAACTTGATGAAACAAGTCAAAAATTAATACTGGAAACTCCCTTACACATTTAAATATTATGGAACTTTAAGCCATGGAAAAATGTATATAAACACTGTAGGTTTATGTAAACACTGATTTAAGCCTTAAAAACAAAACAAAACAAAACCCAGAGATGCTTCTTAAAAATTAGAATTGAGAGAAATTTTAGAGAACGAAAAGAATGAAAAAAGCACATCCCCAAATGAGCATAAATGTGTCAACAGAAAACAAAGTTGAGCAGTTACTTTTCCCAAGCTTAGGTAGCCTAGAGGCCCCTAGAATGTAAACCTTCAGGGCACTACGTCCCTTCACCTGCTTTTCCCGTTCCCATCCTTGTATCTGGCTTCCATCTGACTGCTCCTGTCCTCCACCAACAGGATTCCAAGATGCTGGCCCCCACCCCGACTGCCCATCAGTCCCACTATGCTTCAGGTGGCCTTTGAGAAGAGGTCCATTTTCTGACTGCTTTCCCCAGTGTTGGCTACACTCTAAGCAATGACTCAAGTATTTTCAGGAGCTAAACCTCTACTCGGTTCCTGGGCAGATGATGTGATACTGTATGTCGAACACATACTGTCAACAACAATTAGTTTCTCCAATGGCAATACCAAAAAGTATTACAGATGAAGGTGAGGGGATAGTAGGCTGCAATCTTAAACATCAGTTCCATTACCTAGCTGCAAATAAAAATAAACATTAGCGGATCCAAAGCTCCAGACGTTCCAGGCACCGGAATGCAAAATGTGCCACCACACACCTGGTAATGGGCATAATCCATCATCCTTAACACATTATTTCCTTTTGAGAGAAGAGAGAGAGGTATAAAAGTATTCATACTTTCTGGTTATGTTGTAAACATCTGTCATGTTGTCTGCTCCATGTCCCTTCCTTCTGGAAACTTCCTGCTTGACTCCATGCCATTGGTAAGCATATAAACCAAATAGGGATAAGGAGAACTCTTTCCCAGAAATTGATACAGATTCTGGCGAGCTTGAGTCTTTTTCTCTGAAAATGCTGTCAAAGGCTAACCAGCTGAGGTAGGAGAAAGTCCATCTTTGGTGGAGTGGAATGGCAAAGAGAAAGAATGTTCTGAGGTGATCACTTGAAGGACAAGCCTGAGGCTACGTCTCCTGCTGTCAGACACAAAAGCCAACATCTCATTTCCACAGGTGCCTAAGCTAATGTGAGTTCAGATCCTGTTGCACAAGACAGTTCAAGTCGATACAATCCAATAATCCCAAACCAAAGATTTATTAAGACATTCTAAATAAAGACAAACACTGGATATAGTAAGTACACGACTGCATTTCCTATTTTGCAAAAAGAAAACACTAGAACCTAAAATGAAAGAGAATTAAACAGTTCAAAATGCAAAAACAAACAAACAAACAAACAAACAAACAAAAAACCAACCAACCAACCAACGAAGCAAAAAAGTTCATGTGGGGATCAGGATGCAGGAGACAAGTCCCCATTCTTAAGCATCTGCTTCTCTGGTTTGCATAAATCACAATTAACTGTTGGGAAAAGCTCTAAATCTTTGGTAGTGTAGCTCTCTCATTTTAAAAACAGAGACACTCAAATAGAAACTAAAATTAAAAAAAATTTCAAAGTACAGACAGATCCTTTATTAACATGGTCCTTGAGAACCGATGTTGTGCATGTAAGTGGTATTTCTATATGACTAGTTCACCTTTTTAAATGCTAAGGTTGTGTTTTTTTAAAAAGATTTTCTTATTCACTTGAAAGGGTGAGCAGTGGGGAGGGGCAGAGGAAGAGGAAGGAGCAGGGAAGCCCAGGGCCCTGGGGTCATGACCTGACCAGAAGGCAGATGCTTCACAGACTTAGCCACCCAGCCGCCCCTCCAACGTCAAGCTTATTTTACTTAAGCAGGCTCATTTGACTTTTTGTGAAATCATACAGTTAATACCTCCTAGATCTCGCTTTTACATAACCAACAAGATCATAAGAAGAAAAAGAACTTCCTTTAATAGACTGAGAGCATTATTATGCCCTTAATACATGCAGATGTATTTGTCCTTATTCTAAATGATTATGACTTAAGTGCTTTTCGGTTTCTATTAATATATGATTTCAGGGACGTCTGCATGGCTCAGCGGTTGAGCATCTGCCTTTAGCTCAGGGAGTGATCCTGGAGTTGTGGGATCGAGTCCAACATCGGGCTCCCTGCATGGAGCCTGCATCTCCCTCTGCCTGTGCCTCTGCCTCTCTCTCTCTCTGTCTCTCATGAATAAATAAAATCTTTTTTAAAAAAATCTATGATTTCAATTAAATCCTGATCTGTGCTTGTGCAGTTGTTACACTGCATCAAACAGCGAATATTAAATTATTCCTGTAAAATTTTATCTTGTTAGATTTCGTCATGCTCCAACCTACTAAGTTTTCTGGATTCTGAAGCCATCATCTAACTATACCCAACCACGGCTCATCCTTCCCTGTCGAGAGTCCTCAGAAAGCTCATTACATACGCTTTCCATGGCTTCACCTGTGTCATTACGAAAGCTGTTAACATATGGCAGGGCTGAGGTCCCAGTCAGCCACACATACTAAGAAACTCTTTCCCAGACGACATGGATTGATTATCACGTTTTGGGTTTGTTGCTCTAAGGTGGACCATGTTAGTATTTGGATTATTCTAAACTGAAGGCAATCAAGACCCTGCAGCTCAGAGGAAACTTCTGCCCTTCTCTAAGGTACACAAAAGAATCCACGCTGGGGTCTTTCCCAGAATAAGGCTCGCTCGCTGAGATAAATTTTATCTGAGTGACGCATCTGTACAGCAGGGCAACCATCTAATTACAAGATATCTTCTCACTGCCCTGAGAAGTGCATTCCTTTCCTGTCAAATCCTGGACCCTGCCCACTTCTCCTTCGTTCAGAAGGACATATTTGAAGGAGGACTTCATCCACCTGCATTTTGACCTCCAACTTTCTGATTCAGTTCTTCTGTCCAGCTTCTCTCTTAATTCAGGCAAAAGACCCTGTGAGTAAAGTATCTGTGATGAGCACGAAAACTACCCCCTGAAGCAATCAGGTCTGCCCTGAGCCAGGGAGACCCCACACACCTGAGCCCAACAGGTGTACCCACCTGCACGTATTGCCCGGCATTTTCCTCATATAAACTGGGAAGTACCTCCAGTACTCTGTGAAGACCATCTGAGATGCTAGTGTGCTATTTCCCAGTGGGGGTCTCAATGAAATGAATTCATTTGTTTTACCACTGCTCCTTTCTCTGCCTGTGGATTTGTCAGCGGTGGATGGGGGAGACCCCCCACCACCCAGCTACATATATGCCTCACTTTGCCCATCTTTGAAATTTCCATGTCTGTGTGGATTCCCTGTATGTATGCTGTTAAATTTGGGGTTTTCTCCTCTTAATCTGTCTCATGTTAATTTGATTCTTAGTCCGGCTAGAAGGACAGGAATGTCCCTAGAAAGGGACAGGAATTCTTGCTTGCGGATAGTTGGCGTAGTTGGCAGGATCCTGTAACTCACTGGCTACTACTTGCCTGGACAGTACTGCAGCTGAGAGATCCTGGAACGTCTGACAAGCAGCCACAGAAGGAGAGATTTCTTACCATGTCAGTCTCCCAGAATCTCTACCTTCAGAGTCGATGGAGCGAGACTGGTGAGAGGCCTTTTCTTACTTTCTACATTTACATTAGGAGAAAATGTTTGTGTAACTAGTTCCTTGGGCTTAGTGACTCCTTGGTTAAATTTGGTTACTGACCCATTTCTTCCCAGAGATGGTCTTCATTCTCCTTTGTGTCTTTTACATTGTTTGTTATCCTTGTTGCTAAGGGACATCTTGGAAGCCAAAGCCACAAAATTGGTGGGTCCGGGTCAAGTGCTTAAAAGCTGCTAGAGCATTCTCTACCCCAAGAAGACTGTCGTGATAGGATAAGTTGGTCACAGAACAGGGTAGATTGACCCTAGATCACTTGCCAAAATCAAGTAAACTGTACAATGAAGTACACTCCACTCTAAAACAATACACAGTCCCCAATCCCATAGCACATCCCTCTTAGATACTAGTATGGCTCCAGGAGGCCCAAGGCTTACAGAAAGCTGTTAGACTTTCCCTCTCATCGTGTTCTATGTCCTAAGAGCTCGGCTTATGACTAATGAGAATATGCTCTTTGGTCTCCACCATCCAGAGGGTACACCTTCGTGGTTGGCTGAACAGATGAGGATCTGAGGCTCTCCATCCAGCTATGCCAGCTCTCAGGGGGTGTCTATCATGAGAGGTTTCAGTCCATAGGAACTTTTGTCATCTCAACCTTCATTGCTTGATCAGTGCTAGAAAGTTACATCCCAGAAGCACCTGCCTGGTGTTACAGACTAGTAAGCCTGTGACTGGAGGCATCTCACATTCTCTTGCTATCAAAACTAGAGACAGCATTTTCATTGCACCATCCTTACGGCCTGTGCCCTTTGCTTTCTTAGCCTAATTTTGGGAGTAAACTTTTGAATCATGGGGTCTGTGTCATCTATGCCCTTTTCTGGAAGCCTCTTTTATCTTTGGTTAAGGCAGTAAAAGGCTTATTGGTTTGAATTGCTATTAATAGATCCTACTCACCAATGGCCAGATAATGGTTCCTTTAAATCGGTTATTTAAAAGAAGAAAGAAAGAAAGAGAAAGAAGAAAGAAAGAAAGAAAGAAAGAAAGAAAGAAAGAAAGAAAGAAAGAAAGAAAGAAAGAAAGAAAGAAAGAAAGAAAGAAGAAAGAGCTCTCAATTGTCTTATTAGTGTAATGGCTAGCCTCAGGGACTCCCTTGACAAAAGAACAGAAATTAGCCTTAAGACTTAAAAACCAATGTCCACATCCAAAGTAAATTCCCCTTAAAATCCAGACTCACCTGCCTGTTTTAACTTCCCTCTCCCTGCAAGATTTACAGAGATCATTCTGGCCTAATCTCTAGGTTTTAAGTAGCTGGGATGCTCATGTAAAAGCTGAAAGCCAGAATATGAATCTAACAAAAGCAACTGAGACTGGCAATAAGGCTGGCACAGCTCCTACTCTCCAGGGCTCTGGGATCAGGCTCTGCCCGCTTTGGGCATTCCTGCAGCTGTATCCTAGACTACCCCACTGCCAAAGAATTCACATTCTCTGGACAGCACAGATCTTTTAAACTGTAAAATCCTTTTACCCTACTCCATTTAGAGAGTAATTAGATTGACTATATTCATAACTTTGGCTTCACTAAGCAAATAGATGACCAAAATTTCCCCTAGGCCCTTAGTCAAGTGATCTGCAAAAGGCCAATGTTCAGAGACTAAAGCCAAGGGTTAATTTTGTACCCAGAGGAAAAAAAAAAGGCTTTGTTAAAATGCTTTATACATATTTTACAAAGTCATAAATCTCTTGGTTCCCATTTTAGTTAAAATTCTCCCTGATATAAAGAAGCAAATTTAGTTAAAAATATGGGCCAGTGGCACCTGGGTTGCCCAGTGGGTGAAATGTCTGCCTTTGGCTCAAGCCATGATCCCAGAGTCCTGGGACCATCAGGCTCCTTGCTCAGTGTGGAGTCTGTTTCTCCCTCTCCCTCTGCTCCCCCTACTTGTGCTCTCTTTCTCTGTCAAATACATAAATAAAATGTTAAAAAAAATAAGAACATGGACCAATCCTTTGATATTCAGGCTGTAATCCAGGCCTTTGGGGAATTAGGAACACCTGTCTTTCTTTTACAAACCCCTAAAACCCAAAAACTGCAACTCTAGAAACAGGTTAATGCTCACCATCTCCAAGCTTCACCTATTCCTCTCACAAGGCTCGTACATATTATAAAGATCAGAATACTGGAACAAAATTGTTCTGCACCTAATAGAAACAAAATTAAGGTTTTGTTTGTATCTTGTCTGTGTATTATTTGGTGTGTCCACATATATTGTAAATGTGAGATATTTTCTCTACCTCTGGATGATAGTACTAAAATTAATTTGTAAAAGAGCTTTAGTTGAAGGCAAGCACTTGTAAGGCCAGGCCATTCTAAAACTCAGAAACTAACCCAAATGTTTTTCAAGTTCAAGTGATCTGGGACAATTTTCAGTATTAAAACTAACTTAAGGTTGTTGGTTTAATTAAAGCAGACGTGTATTTAGAGTTATCAGCATTAAACATAAAACGTTTATTCTGCTTGTGTTTACTAAAAGTCAAGTAAGTTCATGATATCTCTGTTGCAAAATCTGCCAGAAGAAAAAACCAGAGTAACGGCTGATTTTGTCTGATGCCTCATCAAGTTTTATGGATAGTCTGGACAAAACTGTTAAGAACAAGTAAATTAAACAGAGTAAATAAAATAAAACGGTTTGTAGGTAAACTTTTAAATACCTTC